AGGAAGCCGACGCTGTGCGAGAGTTCGCCCAGCAAGAAGCGGACGCCGCCATGCAGGCGGAAGATCCCGGCCTGCTGGCCGACTTGGAAGAAGCGGCAGACGAGCCGGAGCCGCCTGAACCAAGAGGGCTACCTCAGCCGGAAAGCCCCACAGAAGAACAGCGACAGCAGCATCGGTTAACTCACCTGCCATTCGCGCCATGGTGCGAGGAGTGTGTGAGCGGGAAATCCCGCCAAGACCAACACAAGCGAGACCAGTCGACAGAACGAGATCAGGGTATCTCGGTGGTCCAAATGGACTACTTCTTTCTGTCTCCAGAACGGGAAGAAGAGGTAGAAGACGAATCTCGTCTTGTGACCATCTTGTGTTTAACCGATACCGGCACCGGATGGCCATTGACACTTCAACTCCCCAACAAGTCTGTGGAGGTGGCTCAGTCAAAATACTGCCTGCAGAACATCGACCTCTACTTCAAGAACTTGAGGTATGACAAGATCATCCTCCAGCACGATGGCGAGCCCGCCATAAGAGCCCTGGCAAATAGCATCCAACGCCATGTGGGTGCATCCAAGGTCTCTGTGCGGGAAGCTCCGCCGAAGCAACACCAGAGCCAAGGAACTGTGGAGTCGATGAACGGATTCGCAGCTTCGCAAATCCGGACTCTGTGGTTAGATGTCAGGCAGAGGTATCCTGAGCTGGACGTGAGCAGCAACCTCACGCCATGGCTTGTGCGCCACGCGGCGTGGCTCATAGCCAGATACCACACACGCAGCAGAGATGGCATGACGCCATACAAGCTGGTCACAGGAGGTGACTACAACCATCCTGTAGCCACATTGGGAGAAATAGTGCTTGGCAAGGTGCCGAGCCCCAAAGGCAAGATCCAACGCCGATGGATCAAAGGAGTGTGGCTTGGAAAGCTGGACAGGGACGACAGCAATGTGCTTGGCACAGCGTCAGGTGCAATCGCTGTGCGGTCCATAAGGCGACTGCCCAAGGAGGGACAGATCAGCTCAGAGCTGATGGCAGCCATGAAGGGAACCCCTTGGCAGCCGAGAGATGGTGTGAGGCATAAGATCACTCGTGAGTTGTCTCAGCCAATCGCTTTTCCAGCACCAGCCGCATCGGGTAGCCCCGAGCGAGAAGAAGCAGCAGATCGGGAGCATCCGACGCTGGCAGTGGACGGACACAACGTCGACCACGACGCCCTCGTGGTACAAGCCGCGGCACAGCTAGAGGAAGAGCTGGAACCGATGCAGGATGCGGAGGAATTTCCAGATCTAGCGGGTGGCCCCGCAGACGTCAGTCCCGTTCCAACAACGCCAGCGGAATCCGAGATTGCAGATCCTCCGCCGCCCGAGCACGGGCCGAGCGGGTCTCCACCGCCCTTTCGGGGAGCGGGATGGTCCTCAAACTTGCAAAGTCTTCCCAATGAACCCATGAGTCCATCTGGATTGGGGGCAGGAGGGAAACGAGAGAGGACTAATCCGGGAGAACTGAAGACCGGCGAAGCTGATGCAAAGCAGCCCCGGCAAGCAGGGATCTTGCAGCACTTGACAACCAAAGAGATCTGGGAGAAAATCCAGCAATGGGGAAACTCAGAAGAACCGAACAACCCAACAGCGATCCAGCGAATTTCAAATGTGACAGAATTCGTCGATCAGATGCTCGACCCTGAGGAGGTATCCAAAGCCCGAAAGGCACAACTGCGAAAGCTGTGGGAGCGAGGAGCGTTCACTCCCATCCACAGAAAAGACATACCCCAGGGATCGCAGCTTTTTGGTCACAAATGGGTAGACAAGTGTTCACGAGGGACTTACAAGTCGCGCTTCACATGCGCAGACGTCAAGGCGCGATACACCCAAGAGCAAGAGGCTGAGCTGGATGTTTTCGTGCCAACTCCAACTCCTGAGTCTCACAATGTCTTAGAAGTATATGCCCTCATGAACAAGTTCTACACGAGGAGCTTAGACATAGTTGCAGCCTTCCTCATAGGAAGGGACCGGGGCGCAGCACAAGGTAAACCGGTCTATGTCCGAGCACCCATCGAATGGTGGGATCTCTTCCTCGAATGGCTCGAAGAAGTCAACCCAGCGGATCGGCAGTGGTACAAGGATCGGTTCAAAGAAATGTGTTTCCGGCTGGATGGAAATCTCTACGGTCGAAGAACGGCCGGATCTGTGTATAGAAATGAGCTAGAAGAGATAGTGTGCTCGCGGGTAGACCCGCAGCGGTATGCTTTTGTCAGGGGTCAGAAAGATCCGTGCATTTTCCGGTGCACCAAGACTGGCATTGTACTGCTGCACCATGTGGACGACATCCGCGCAGCAGGACCTTCAGAGGCCCTAGCGCATCTCTTCGAACAAGAACTACCGCGACACTGCGAAGTGCAAGCGGGAGAACTCGAAAAGGAGGGAACGGCAGTGGAATACCTGGGACGCACCAAAGTGCGCAGTGAAGATGCAATCCTCACCATCCCAGACGAAAAGCACAGGCAAGCCGTGATCTCCGCAGCGGGTATCTCCGCGCGTGACAGGAGTGAGGTTCCGTCCAAACAACTGAACCTTCTGGAAACCACTCCCCTGTCCGAAGAAGAAGCAAAACGCTATCGCAGCGCAGTAGGATCCGCGATCTACCTGAGTTTGGATCGCAGAGATATACAATATGCTGTGAAGGAAGCAGCGAGACACATGTCGCAGCCAAGGCAGTGTGACATGAAAGCTGTGAAGACACTTGCAGCATACCTGCAAACTCACCCCACGGTTGGCAGGGTGGTAACATGTGATCCGCCAAGTGCGACTGGCGAATGGAGCATAGAGTTGTATTCCGACTCAGACTGGGCAGGGTGCCTCGAGAGCCGAAGGAGCACCGACTGTCATGTGGCAGTAGTCTGTGGAGCTGTGGTTGCTTGCACAACCCAGACGCAACCCGGACTGCCAGCTACTAGCAGCCCAGATGCGGAACTAAGAGGTGTATCCAGAGCAGCCAGAGAAGCTCTCTACTTGCGCGATCTCATTACCTTAGACTTTGGCCAACTGTGCGGGAAGCCCCGCCTATGGACCGACAGCTCGTCGGCCATGCAGGCAGCGAAACGCATAGGTCCAGGAGCCAAGTTGAGGCACCTGGAAGTCTGTGAGTTTTACGTGCAAGGAGCGATCCAGTCAAAGCAGCTCGCTTTGGGAAAGGTGAAAGGAACGCTCAACTGTGCAAACTTTCTGACGAAACATCCCAAGTCAGGGACTGAGGTAAAGCAAGCCCTACCTGGACTGGGTATGTGCGAAGCTCACGACGGAGAGGATGTGCTATCATCCACAAAGCGTATCTCCGTCAAGGTCTCGACTGTGACCAAGCAGCATGCTTCGAAGACTCCGGTCCCAGCAAGCGTTGCTTGGATTGACAACAGAAAGGACCGAGCGGGCAGCACCGCCCCGAAAACAAAGGGCAGTGTGAACTACATCAAGTCATTGGTGATTCTCAGCCAGATCACCGCAGTGCGAGCGCAGGGACAAGGAAATCAGTGGATCAATCCAATTGTCCTGTACATCCTCGCGCTCATAGGCTTGTTAGCCATCTATGTGAAGCTGTATCAGCTAGGAGTGCTGATCACAGACTGGCTTTTCCCGCCTGAAGGCGAAAATCAACTTCCCGAACAACCGGTTCAAGTTGAAGGAGCCGAAGTGCAACTTCAGCTGGATAGCGCTACGGTGCGCCTCAACATCACCGCCTACCGAGACGGTAGACAGCTGAACATCAGCCAGACGGTGAATGCGCCAGCGGCAGCCCCGCGGCAAGGTTCCGCGGAAGCCCCGCAGCCTCAACCGGCGGAAACCCCGCGGCAGGAGGAACTAACTCCTAGTCGCATCGAGCGCTGGTCAGAGGAACAGTGGGTACAAAGAGGGGCAGAAAGCAACATGACCCTCCAGGAGCTGATCGAATGGCGCAGGCGCGAAGAAAGGCTGATTCATGGGCAAGACCCAGACTCCAGCCAAGATGAGCCAGGTGAGTCAACTTCGCACAGTGCGGACAGCCCCGCCTCTGAGCGGGATGTACCGCCTGAGCGGGAGGAACCGCCTGAGCGGGTAGCACCGCCCGAGCGGGCGGAGCCGCCGATCTCCAGTTCCGGCCCGGAGCTCTTGACGGGAGACCCAGCCATTGAGCGGGAAGCTCCGCTAGATCCCTTTGATGGGATGAGTCCAAATGAGCTCCAGCAGTGGCGCGAGGCCGAGAACAGAGTTCTGGGGATCGAAGGCGGCAGCTCCAGTGGCGGCAGCCCTTTCTCTGGCCACAGCTAGCCAGGAGAGGTACGTAGCTATACGTCTCACCAAGAACCCGGCAGTGAGCCATGCCACTCTAAGGAGGGTGGCAAACTGCAAAGGGTAAAACCTAGGAATTAGGTAGCTACTGTTGATAGCTAGGCAGTTCACTAGGTAGAGACGCCATGGCATGACAATAGCTCATGACCGCAGCCCCTTTTGCACAACCGTGCATTCAAGGAAGGAAAAAGGTGCCACTGTGTGGCAGCTTGTCCAACTAGCGGGGTAGGTAACTTGTGAGAGCCCAATACGCTGACCACTACCAGCTTTGCTTTTGCAGAGGTCATAGACGCTGTCTCTGCTAGAGGTGCCATGGTGCCGGCTGTCCGGTTGTGAAGTTGTGAGAGCTTCAAGATAGGTAAGAATTTCATTGAATTTCTAAAAGAAATAGTTGGTGACTCTAGGGGCTTTATACTACCCAAATCTCCCCAGCATTCGGGGAAAGAGTCTTTTTCGGTTAGATTGAAAAGCAACAGCTTTGCACCATCAATTTGGACTTTGTCGAGCAAGAAGGCAGGTCCAAGCTGGTGATCAGACCAAAGATTGTCTCACTTAGGCAGGAGCCTGGGAGTGATGAGTCAGATTTGGCAGGGAAGAGCTTTTATGGCAACTGCACAGGTACAATTTTGAATATGCAAGCATCCAATATCCAATATTTTTGTTGCTTCTCAATCTTGACCCATCACCCAGAAACTGCGCTGGTGAAAGCTCCTGCCGATCAGCTTGACGGCCATGTCTCTTTGCTGTGGGACTTCAGATCACTAGATGCTCATGAAAGGCGAAGATGAAGCAGAGGCAACGGGGGTGGCCGTTGTTCAGTTGCCGCTTCCTAAAGGCATCCTGCTGTTGACCTTCAGTGACTGGAGCGTTTGGCTTCAAACTTGTTTGAGCCTCACTGCAGTGATCTACGTGTGGCTTCTGCCATGGTTGCAGACCACAGCTTGGGCGCATACATGCCAACCAGAGACCGTGGAAGGTGAAGTCTGGGAATATCCGCACTGTGCGTATTTGATCGACTGGAGTTGGGTCCGGAAGATCTTGGAGTTCCTGCATTTCAACAATTGGTTTGAAGCAGGTGCTAGTGTCTCAGATTACATCGCCAATGCTCAAGCCACAGGTGGCATGGCAGCATGCGAGTTTTGGCCTTGCATGTTTTTGTACCTCCCAAATCGCTGGGTGGATAGCCCGGGCGCCTACATCTCCTTGATCATCTTCCAGGTCTTCTTTGGTTTGTTTCTGATGAATCCTGTGACCTCTGGCCTTTGCATGCACACGTTGGTGGTCGGGATCTTTTGCAATGCCGGCTTGGCTCACACGTTCATCATGGGGTTTCACTTGGATCGCCTGCCAAGCTGGAGAGCTCGTGCTTGCAAAATCTTCCGGGTGGGTGCCATCCTGGGCTTTGCCGGGGTGATTTTCACGGGAATGGTCTGCCTCATCAGCAGTTGGATTGGAGCCAATGCGCCCTTCTTCTTCTGGTTCTGTGAATCCCTGGGGCTTAGTTCCATGTCGCTGTTTGTAATTTGTTTTAGGTATGAAGATGTGAGCCAGCTGCCTCACTGATAGCATCAAAGAATGATCCTGTCGGAGGCACTGCAGAAAAATGGCTATGCAGTTTCGTTCGGTGAGCTTGTTTCGTTCCATGATGTTCCTTGCATGCCAGGGGTGAGGTTTTGAGCCTCGACCCAAATTCAGCTGAAGTTTTGGACCCCAAAATATGGCCGTACCCCAGTACCCCAATGAAAACTCAGCTCCACCAAAAGGTGACCTTGATCATTTCGCGGCAGCTGTTGCCGTCGTGCGCCGGAGCCGCTGCTGTTGGATACAGCACAATGCTGTGTGAAGAAGCAAGGGTCCCTTTTTTTGCGTCCTTTCTGTTGGACTGTGCAGTTTTGACATCGAAAAGTCAAAATCGGATTGAAAATGGTGGGAAGTTCTAATACGATCTCCAATTGTCCAATCAGTTGGCTCTGGGTCAACAGAATTTGCATCCGGAAAACTAGTCTTGTGCAAGAGCCTTGCCATGCTGGGACAAAACAACCCACATCCGCACTTGTCTTCGCCAGAGCAGGTACTTTGCACCACGTTTCTCCTTTCGCTGCTCCCTCAGACAAACTGCGTGTCGTAGATTTTGTTGGAAGTTGTTTTTTCTTTGGTGTATGTATCTTCAGCCAACCCAGAAACGATCCCTATGTAATAATATCTTATCGGATCTTAATCATTCCAATTTTTACAAATTAATTGAAGGTTTCTTGTTGAACCTTCACTATCGACTGTTCCTGGGAGGTCTCCCAAGCTATCCCCCTGACTTCTCACCCAAGATCTTGTTGAAATTCATCAATCATCATGTGATTCCAGTTCACGGAGAGGGCTCTTGGACCAAGGCTGTTGATGTATGTGATTTCCATGCTGGCGGTATTGTGGACACCCTCACCTAGCGCAGTTGTAAGGCGAGAGTTTCGCAGGGTGAGCACAGTGTATCGTTTCATCAGGCAGCTGATCCACCCTTTTACAATGAATGATCCATACATTCAAGCTTTTAAAAAGACAGTTCCACAGATTCCACAGGCATTGTTTCCATATTGAGCCAATTCAACCGACTGAAAAAACATTTTTAGTGGCTTGACGTGGGCTCCATAAAAAGTGCCATTGACCTGGTCGCACTTGGGGACACTTCGACTAAATGTGTGAAGTAACTTAACATAATTCAGTCATATCTTGAGCAGCTTTGTGTAATGAGTTGGAATCCATACTTTATTGGGGATTGTCATACCAGATGACCACCATATACCACCATTAGAGATCGGAATTAAATGACCAATACAAGGATTCCCAATGATGATGGGATGACTTTCAAAATCAAAAACCCGTGTCCGGTAGATCCTGTAAGCCGACAGGAGAGCCTCCCAAAGGGCTTTGGCTTTCCCCTGCAGCTTCTTGATCACAGTCCATTGCTTAGTTGTCGCCACATAGCTAGCTGTCAAGCCAGAGAATCGCAAGTAGACTTGCAGGAAGACAAAGCAAGATTCCTCGATGCTTCAAGCTTTTGATCCCTATTCTTGGGTTAAAAACGTACCTGTACCCGAGACAACCAGAACTTCATGTGGTTTGATTGAAAAAGTTTTTCCAGATTCCTGAAAATTCTTGCTTGGGGAACGTGTCGTTTATTTCTGGGTTGTTAGGTAAAGGTGTTTGGTCATACCACGACAGTGGAATCTATACCATGACAAGATATTGGGCTAGGCAATATGATTCTAAGGTTCAGTTGTGGAGTTGTTGAAGTTTGCAAAAATTCTGGTCGTTTCTCCTGGGAATCCTGGAGGTGTTTCCGCAGTGGCTGCTCTACATCGGCATGATGCCGAAACATCATTGGCCGGACCCTCGGCCGCTGTCGCCGTCGCCAAGACCATGGCCCAAGTTTTGCCCTTTTTGACCAAGGTTCCGGCACGTAGCCACGCTGGCGGTGTACAGCAATGGTCGGGGACCAAGATGTGACTGTGGACGATCTTGGTTTATCTTGGTTTACCATGGTTTGTCTTGGTTTCATATTTTTGTAAACATCATTGCTGGAGCGTCAGTCTAGGGAGAAAAAGCTCAGCTGGTGCCAATCCAGGCTGGGTCAACTCAGCTGTTTACAGCTGGCAGAACAGACACATTTGCCAGAGGCTCAGACTTTACTAATTTGGTCCCAAAATCGAATATTTTCCTAACATAAGATGTTGAAGACAGGACTAACCAATGGCTTTGGGCCTGAGTTGTGGGACCTGGCCCGCATTTTTCAGGCGGCGTTGATTGGAGGCGGGGCTCCTTTGCAGAGCTGCGCTTGCATGGCAGCTCCGTGATGCTCCGTGTTCATGTTGCGTCAGGAGAGTGCAAAGGGTGGGAAGACACTCGCAGGAGAATGGCCACTTGCATTGGTGAAAGATTCTTGAAATCTGGGATGATTTGGGTCTGTTTAAAATCTGCAGTTCCCGAACTCACATTCCATAGTCTACTTGTCTACTTGATTTGAGTGCCAGGGTTTGGACATAGGATGACATAGGTACTTTTATGTCAAGTGGCGAGGTGTTTGATCTATATACTGCAACCCAAATGATTCAATTGTGACAGCATAACTTTTGTTGCGAAGTCTAGCACGAAACTGAAAATCTGAGGCCGATCTTCCCGATCTTCGCTTGGCCAATCGTTTCACGTGGGCTTTGGCCGTGTGTCAAGGTTCTATCCACAGACGGTCTTATGGCAGCAGTGAAGGAAATCTGACAAGGGAAACACGCTGATGTCATCATGTTTCACTTGCCCTGACGAACTTATATACAACATATATATATATATATACGGAGCCTCATAGTATATATAATACCATATAATATAACATATATATATATGTTATATATATATAACATATAATATATATATATATAACATATATATATAACACACACATATATATATATATATGTTATATGTAACATGTAGATACAGTTGATTTATGTTAACTGTATTTGTTGTGTCGCACT